GAAATGAAAAAAAAAAAGGATTAATCAGGAAAGTACGGGTTGTTCTATCTTTGGTTCATACGATATTAAACATTTAAATCAACTTTAGGAACAATCGAGATGTCGATTCTTAATGCAACCTTTAGCAGATGGATTTCGGCAGCAAAGCTCTGAAACGATTGTGCAGGGGACAAAGAACGCGCCTTCACAACACAAGGGTTCTTGAACGCAAGGTTTAATAATCGAGAGTGCACACTCAGCATATTTTCTTAACAACACAACAGGATCGGAATTGGAGTCTCATCTTTGGCTAACAAGCTTCACCTCGCAAGTAAAAACCTACAAAACAAACACTTAATCACTGTTGGAACGGGATTTGGAAATACACGAGCTCCTAAGACTCACCATACGATGAGAAACTCCCGGCGACTAGCGCGTTACAAAGCACATGGTTTCTTTCTCGCTACACGACGACACTGAGACGCGCTCACTAAGCATGCTGGGAGTATAAATTACAAAAATAGAATGGAACGGACTTAGGAAAACAAAATTGTTCTCTTGTTGAGGATTGGCCTCAACAACGATAAAATGCTCTCTGGTTGAATGAAACGTAAACCAAAATTTGAACGATATGTTTTGTGTAATGCCCCGAAAAATCAATACTTCGAAATACATTTGCATTTATTCACGAACTCTCGACCTCCGAATGAAATCGCTAGACGATGATAAGCTTTCATGATTCTCCTCTTTGAATAACGTCTAATATAGAAGTCTAGCGGTGCACGGTAACTTTAATCAACAACGAAAAAAAATCTCATTACGAATCAGTCCCAGCTCGGGAGCCTCCCTTTGAAAATTTTCATCAAACTTCTTCATTATTATTTATCCTCAATTAAAGCTGAATTTCCACGCTCAATTTTTCAGCTGTTTACATTTCAAGGATCCTCGCGAAATCAACTGCTCCACTCCTCACTTTAAAAAAAACCGCGAAGTCCAAATGCGACCGAAACTTGGTGTCCGGAGTGGGTAGAGTTTTTTGGTTAATTATTTCAATAATGCTTTGTAGCTTTCCAAACGATGGGATTTTAGTTAACAAATAGAGAAGCCTTGACTGTGCTCTGTTCTGTTATAAAGCACGCAGGAAGCGGCTAGAGTACGAGAGAAGTGTAGGGAAAAACACGAGACGTAGTCGAGTGTTTCTCCCCACTTCTTGAGTGCTCTAGCCGCTTCCTAAGTGCTTTATAACAGAACAGAGCACAGTCAAGGCCTCTCTATTTGTTTTATAATAAAGAATCCGTTAAATTACCCAAGCATTACTTTCAATTTTCAAAACAAACTTTATTTGCAAAGTGAACAACAGTGTCGTCAGCATGCTGTATACTCTCATAAAGCACGCTTCAATAAGCCAATCAGAATCCCTGTTAGAATGGTTCAAATAATCTGATTGGCTGTACAAGACTAAAGCTGTCAAAAGTGTCAAACCATCAAAGTTCAAAAACCATCAAAGTTAAAAAACCATCAAAGTTCACATTCTGCGATAGTTTACAAACCGAAATAGTTCGGCAGGTCGAATTTAACAGTTTTGCCTGAAGTTTTTAGGTCTTTAATACAGAATCTTGAAGTGAAATGTTCAGCGAACTTCAGCCGAATTATGGCTCATAAAAACACGCGAGTTTTTGTACATGACAAGGTAAAACACAAACTGTTCAAGGCGAGTGTTTTTTGAATGAACGACAGCCGAATTCACCGGAACATGAAGATCGCTCGGGATGACAGCGTGGCAAAACTCGGCTGCAATGACAGATGTGACTTTCCACTCAACGCATCGGAAGGGATATCAGAGTAAGCTCTTATTTTTTCACTCGAAGGGCGGCCGATGTAGTTTCTGAGGCTTGCTTTACTGTGATGACTGGAGATCGCCATGATGAGCGAGCCGCGATGGAATTCAGCATGATCATATTTGCTTAGACACCGTCACGATTAGAATGAATTTTCACAGTTATGCCAGTTTGGTTATATTTTTCATCATTTCTGTTTTGTTCTGTTTTGTTTTTGAACACTGAACTTTATATACTATATGAATGTTAGCTATGTTTGATTTTTATTTTCGTACGTAAGCTTGCAATCTAACTGAGCGTGATTCAATCTTTAAAACTCGGAATGTCTATTTTGTTTTTCCTTTGAGGATTTTCGTATCTGCTCACGTTTTAATAACGTAAATTACGGCGCCTGGTATGTTTACAAACCTTTATTTGATTTTTTTACTACTTGCCGGCTCGCTTGTTCCGAAATTTCACTTTCAATTATCGGAATAAAGCTAAAAATAAGTCCCAGAAAAGGTCGAACATGGTACTATTTGGCAGATGGCGTGACAGCTTTAGCTCAGCTCTATGCTCTATTTAACAAAAAGAGAAGCCTTGACTGTGCTCTGTTCTGTTATAAAGCACGCAGGAAGCGGCTAGAGCACGAAAGAAGTGTAGGGAGAAATACGAGACGTAGTCGAGTGTTTCTTCCCACTTCTTGAGTGCTCTAGCCGCTTCCTAAGTGCTTTATAACAGAACAGAGCGCAGTCAAGGCTTCTCTATCTGTTTTATAATAAAGAATCCGTTAAATTCCCCATGTATTACTTTCAATTTTCAAAACAAACTTTATTTCCAAAGCGAAGAACAGTGTCGTCAGCATGCTCTATACTCTCATAGAGCACGCTACAATAACCTAATCAGAATCCCTGTTAGAATGGTTCAAATAATCTGATTGGCTGTACAAGACTAAAGCTGTCAAAAGTGTCAAACCATCAAAGTTCAAAAACCATCAAAGTTCACACTGCGATAGTTTACATACTAAAATAATTTGGCAGGTCGAATTTAACGCTTTTGCCTGAAGTTTTTAATTCAGAATCTTGAAGTGAAATGTTCAGTGACCTTCAGCCGAATTATGGCTCATAAAAACACGCGGATTTTTTCACATGACAAGGTAGAAAACAAACTGTTCAAGGCGAGTGTTTTTTAAATGAACGACAGCCGAATTCACCGGAACATGAAGATCGCTCGGGATGACAGCGTGGCAAAACTCGGCTGCAGTGACTGAAGTGACTTTCCACTCAACACATTGGAAATCATATCAGAGCAAGCTATTATTTTTCACTCGAAGAGCGGCATGATAAGTGAGCCGCGATGGATTTCAGCATGATCATATTTGCTCAGACACCGTCATGATTAGTATGAATTTTAACAATTATGCCAGTTTGGTTATATTTTTCATCATTTCTGTTCTGTTTTTGAACTCTGAACTTTATATACTATACGAGTGTTGGCTGTGTTTGATTTTCATTACCGTACGTAAGCTTGCAATCTGACTGAGCGTGAAAATCTTTAAAACTCGGAATGTCTATTTTGTTTTTCCTTTGAGGATTTTCGTATCTGCCCACGTTTTAATAACGTAAATAACGGCGCCTGGTATGTTTACAAACCTTTCTTTGGTTCTTCTGTTACTACTTGCCGGCTCGCTTGTTCCGAAATTTCACTTTCAATTATCGGAAAAAAGCTAAAAAGAAGTCCCGGAAAAGATCGAACATGGTACAATTTGGCAGATGGCGTGACAGCTTTAGCTCAGTTCTATGCTCTATACTCTCATAGAGCACGCTCTTTCAACCAATGACAGCGCGCGTTATATCCGAACTTTATTATAAACTCTCATAGAGCACGCTCTTTCAACCAATGACAGCGCGCGTTATATCCGAACTTTATTATAAAATCGGAATGAAATGAAAAAAGATACATAAATGCGCGAGAAGAAATCTCTCTTTCTTTAAAATAGGCCTGGAATATGTAAATGTGGTTGCATTTTGTTGGGCAGTGTTAAACCCAGTCTCGATTGTGCCCGACGGCTTTCGAGCAACTTTCCGCGTTTGGAGCAACTTTTTGCGGTTCTAGTAACCTCGAGAAATTTTAGTCATTCTGAGCAATTTTAAGGCAAAATATGGGTTTTTATGTACGAAGCGCACATATCAAGCACGAAGAAGTAAACGATTTTATAGAAAACTTTACTTTATGCGCATTATTTGAAGGTCTATCAGCCTTTCGAACACATAAGCTGTCAGTTGACAATGTTTCGCTGCCCTATTTCGATTCTTATCAGTAACAATGGACTCCTGTCCTTATCTAATATTATTTGTTCCGTTAGACTTAGATTATCCTTAGATTTCGAATTCGCCACTATTTGCTAAGTTTCCAGCTCTCGATGTTAACAATCATTATAAAGAACGATAAATATAGCTTTTAACTAACGTTTAAATAAAAATATCAAGAAATCTAGGAGGTAAGTTTTTCATTTTTGGCAACTTGTAAGAAACTTTTTGGCTTTCTAGTGAACAACTTTCTAGAATTTTACGAGCACAATCAGTGATAACATACATGAACCCCCCAGAAATAAACTTTCTGATGTTTAAAGAACATCAAAAACAAAGGGTAATTGTGAATAATTCCCATGCGACTTCGATTTTGTGCTTACTTCAGAAGGGAAACAATACCCCTTGCGGAAAATATGGGGTTTTGCGTTGAACTTCGTAAGGCATTTTTACCAGATATACTTTGGTCCTGATCTAACACCAAATTTCTGTGACTTATTGGCAAGGAAATGTGTAGCAGCGAGTAGGGAGAATTCATAATCAGATCCTGGGAGTTAAAGGGTTAAGGGTCCTCACTCTTCGAGTTACTCGACGGCCAGTTAAGAAATGTATGGGACACTGCTACTGAATTTTAAGTGACACTGTTTTACTAAATTAAAAGGAATCTGAATCAACAAATTCATAGTAGAAAGGAAGGGAACTCGTGCAGCGCTAACCATTAGTACGCGTGTAGAAGCGCGGGACAGTGAGAATTCCTTCCACTACCCGTTCACCCCCGTTCCCCTCCCTTCCCCCCCCGTGTCCCCCTATTTCAACAGCTTAGAGCTAAGCGTGACTCGATTCAGTGACTATCTACCGACCTCAGTTTCTGATTTCTTTTTGAAAGAAGCTTTTGTTAGCGCCTACACATTACTATCTTAGAAAAAGCTTGTGCGAAGAATCTGTTCATTGTACCATAGCACAAAGGATGAAGAGCACTCGGGTAACACGTAAGCGCATAAAAATATCGGCGGAGCATTCTTTGATAAGGAAAGAGGTAACGGCCATCCACGCCTGCAAAATATTCCCACAAAAGCAACGCTTGATAGGGGATATAACAAAGTACAAATGACAAGATGATAACGTAGATCATTCTTAACAGGTCGCGTTCAAGCTCCACGTTAGACGTTTGCCCTGATCTGGAATTTAAATTGCTTGCTGCCCTCGGACGAACGTAGATCGCCGCTCTTGGGTCTGCGTACGAGTTGCTTCGTGATGCTGACGTAGTCATAGTTATCTCGGACGCTTCGTCGACGCTTCTTCGGAGCTGACGACGCCTGAGTTTAACTGCCACCGCTCCATAGGAGCATATCATAACCAGGTAAGGTATTAAGTAAGAGAGGACAAATCTCACGATGTTATAAATTTTCTGGTCACTGGTTGAGAAGTTTGACTTGCAAACTTTGTGCCCCGATGGCAACTCCACCAAAATCCGTGTTGCAGCTAAAGGCAGCGATAAAGCAAGGGCTGCAAACCATAAACCTCCAATCACCGCCACCATTATGGATATTTTTACTTGTTTCTTAACCGGGAACGTCATTACCCGATAGCGATAAACAGCAATGGCCGCCATGTCGCTTGTAACCACAGTAATAGCCATGACTTGTAGAGGAATAATCAGCCTACAAGTAAACTGTCCAAAGTTCCAGCTGTACGTCTCATAGTACACCATGGTAAATGGAAGGCAGATTGAGCTGATGATTTCGGCTACAGCCAAATTTGCTACCAGATAGTACGTGAATGGTTTGTATCTTCTGGGAAGTTCCAGTACTGTTTTTAAAACCAATGAATTGCCAATCAAACTAGCGATTATGGTGACCGAGAACACTACGAGGCGAACGACCTTTGATGCTCCCGGCTCGATGAAATGCGACCCAGTAATGGAAACATTAGGTTTGCCATTTAGCGGTTGAAAGCTCGACGAGTTCATATTCCTCACCAGACTAAAACAAGCTTGTTATGAATTCCTGTCATGAAAATTGAAGAAGAGAGAAGTTAGTAAACGACCCTTTCTACTGTTGAAAACTTGAGCCTTGTGTTTCTTTGTCGGTCTTCTTCGCTGAAATTTTGCATTACAGAGTCCTAAACTATTTCCTATCAACATTGATGGACTAATCTTGTAATAATAAAAGGTTACACCGCGTAAACTTGGGCAAGCAAAACATTTTATTGGCTCAGCAACCGTAGCAGCCCGCCGCGCGCAACTCTGGAAGTGAGGCGCGGCGCGCTGACAACAATTTTTTTTTCACTGAATTTTTTTCTTGGAATCATGAGGTAGATTTCGCTGAGAAAAAAAGGCCGCTCTTAGTCTGATATTTACTCGAAGGAGGAAATGCCACAAGAAACTTTTATGCCATGTTCGTCTTAAATTGAAAAGACTGTTTTGAGACTCAGAATCAGTTTTTCATCTGTGCTGGAAATGAAATCGTAGTTTGACAAAATATAATTGTTTTTGATTTGGCTTTTCTTCGAAAAAGATATCTCAGATATCTGATATCTGAGATAAAGAGTCTTTTAAAAGAGATCGGTCTATATCTGTTCGAGACTTCGGTCACTCTCTGACCGGAAAAGCTTGAAAAGTTAATTAATTAATCACATGCCCCACGGCAAAAATTTGAAAAAAACGTCTGGACACAAGAAGGTATCAGAGAAAATTTTTGAAACACTACAATTCGAAATAACTTTGTCAAAATATTTTGAAAACGTTGTTAAAATCATCATCAGATATCTGAGTTTGGATGGATGTCACAGCGAGTGTAATCCTCTAAATTTGCATTCCCTTTACGTTTATAGTTGAAAAACATCACAACATAACCACACACGATCAAATAGACCATCAAAACTCACGTTTTCTTATTTTCGTCAAAATTACAATGCGCGGTCTGAGATGTGCAGAGCTCTTTGAAGAGCAGGTTCTCAGGATCAATATTGACGCTGCGGCTGCGGGTAACTTATGAGTGTTTGTCCGTGTTAAACATCGGTTATCATGTACATGCAGCTTTCTCAATTTCCCTTATAAGTGCTCTGCTGAATACCCCACTCTCACATCTTTCCGTACCTCTTTTATTTGCTCTTCCAAAGACTAATGTTGGCTTATCGTCAGTGACAGGCATTCAATCACTTTGCGGTAAGCTGCTGAAAATTTTTTAATTAACACCCGGAACACCTACGCAGCTTGGCAGATGGTTGCATATATATCATCCTTGAGAAAAATTTTTCCTCCTGGTGCGAGTTTTTTTACAGAAGCTTTGAAGGAGTTGATTTTTTTAGATAATATTAGCAGTGTTTAACAACGTTATTTAATCATTATAAGCGTGAAAGCCACTAGCAAGTCCTTAAGCTCCACTAGTTTTAATTGAGCCGAAAATCACTGGCTGTGGTGCCACATAGAACGTAAATGTTCCAATTGTCACGTTGCGCTCAAAGAGAGCAGATAGAAAGCTTTATAAAAAATATTTTTCCGCATATGCGAAACTGCCCTGTCTTAATAGTTACGTTAATAAAAACAGCTTTAAAAGCGATATGTTTCTTTGTAAATATTCAAATTATTTCGTTGCACTTAAGGAGAAAATATAGAACGCCGTTAAAATCATTTTTTCCGCGTGAGAAGTAAAAGAGCCATAAATTACGTATTACGGTTTCGCAAAGCAAAAGCCGACATCTCCAATAAAAAGATTTTTCTATTTGACATGAGGAATAGTTGATAAAAATTTTCTTTTTCGAACTACTTAGGATGCGTGTAAATGGCGAAAAAAGGAAAACTTGCTTACCCCTCAATAACAGAAGCGTGCTGTCCTTTTAGCCACTGCTAACTAATTCGAACAAAAAATAGATTATTAAATATTTATACCTGTTGAATTCTGCGTTGTTCATGAACCAAACAGCTCGTAAAAGTGCCGCGAGTCAGTTGCGATCGTATCAGAGCAACGCTGGTCAATTTGAATTACAAAGTGAAGCTAGTTGACAGAAAACATTTGTGTTTACATGGGTGGTGGCTTGTAAGAGTTGGTCGATGCCAGATAAAAATGCATGGTACCACAATTTAGGTCATTCCGAGAGAGTAACATATCCCGCCCAAGCGACTCGCCTACTTTATTGATCATATCAAATTTCGAAAATGATATCGCATTTGAATTCATTTTTTACTTCGTCAATTACTTGGAAACTTTCTGCCCGATCGAACAATGGAGTATTTACAATTGCAAGCTTTCCTTGACAAACGTTTGTTGGCATCTGGATAGGGAGAAGAATATGACAAATTTAACCTTGACAGCCAACTTTGTTCTAAAATTTACACGTCAGGTTTTGAACAATTAAGACTTGTTAAAATTAACAAGTGTAGACAACTTGACAAGAAAATTGCTGAGGAAGAAGAGTTGTGAAGAGTTTTGAGGAAATTCAGCCCCAGCGCTTTATTTCCCACGACAATAGCTTTTGAAAATTGTTCTCTGATAATATCTCTGGCAAACTATTTCCTCGACAGGCAGATTTCGGCTGTCGAGATAAACTCGCTATCAATTCAAATTCGGCGTCAAGAAACACTTCAAAATTTGTTGGAGTGACTTTTTCGATTATCTGAAAATGTGAAGTACACGAAATTTATCAGATTTATCTAGCTTCCGACTGAAAAACAATGATCCTTTAAGGTTTGCAAAATGTAATTTGTAGTGACTAATCTAGAAGACGATTTGTCATTCTGAGCAATACTAAAAAATTGCAAATTGACATCGGAAGTTTCACAGAGGCAATTACGATCATGTATTCGACTACGTCGAGTTTTCTATGTAACTGATGGCTCCAGCTCAATCTCTAGCCCCTCCCTACCCCACACCCCACAAACACACTCACGTTTCAGTGTGGAAGAAATCAATCGCTCTGACGAAGGGCTAACGCTCGAAACGTTAGCTTTTTTACCCTTTACGGTGGCCAATTTACGTTTTCAACTCAGTTGTTAACACTAAATTACCTGGAAGAAAATTGGCCTAACAAAATATTCATTATATATACTGATCTTTTCACAAATTATTTCAGAGGAATTTTGCTGGGTGAAATAAACCACAGAAACACGAGATACTGTTTTCAGGATTGCAAAAACGATTTTTGTGCAATGAACACAACGACTATCATCGAGGGTATGCAGTTGGCTTGGCTTACGATGACCCCCTCCCCACCCCTCACGACTCAATACGCTCCGCTGCCTCTGACAGAGCCTAAAGCTGTCTATTTTACAAGGAGATTTTCTTCCAAAATTAATTGGAAATGTCTTAAGAGGTAGGAAGTGGCACTAAAAATAAGTATAAAACCTTTTAGGGTGCAGTTTGAGAGCTTAAGAGCAGACAACTCACATGTAAGTTCCGGTTATAAGCCGATAGCATAATTATAAACTTTAGAAAACACTTCTGATGCAAATGAACATCAGTCTCGAAGAGCATTAAGCAATGTCTTAGGAAAGAGGAAGAGAAAAACATCCGCAGATTTTGCGGAGATGCAGACACCATGGCTGTATTTTTAGTAATTTCTAATTGGTGAGCTTAGTTAATTAATCGACTGTCTTAGTGTTTACTGGAAAATTATAGACCGCCAAGAATTTCACAAAGAGAAATGCCGGCGCTGGCTGACTATAATTGAAATAATTTCGTTTTATATTGATGCTTTACGAAGGAATTGTCTGACTTTCTTTAAAGTCACAGGAAATTTTGGAATAAGCCCGTGATCAGCTACAGCCAATATCCTTATCTTTATATTTGAAAGCAAATACGTATAATTTACTCCTACATTAAAAGAAAGAATAAACCATGAAAATGAATTAGTTTGAAAAGGTGGAATCACTGAGGCAGAGTATGTAGGTTTGAAAATTTTTCTATCAACCGTGCCGCGCGACAACAACAAATATGATATATCTCTCGCAAAGGGAGTATTGCGATGAAATAGTAAGAAAATTACTTATAACTGCCACAAAAGCTTCAAAGGCATATTTTGATCATTACTAGCCTAATGCCGAGCAGAATAAGTGCAGGTACAGAAAGAAACCAGACTTAATAAATAATGAAGTATTACCACGAAAGACGAATTCTAGAACTTACATTTAAGTTCCGACAGCAAAAGAAGTATCACTTTTTTGCTAAAAGAGAATGTATCCAGGTCTTTCACAGATCTAATAAGTAATGCCTTGCTAGCTGAGTTCTTCTGCCCTATATGAAAAAAATTGGTTGCACTCTTCTTCCAGCTTGAAATTTATCCAGTCTCACTTCATGACGTAATTTGACTCGATTAAAGAACTGTCCAAAGTTGTTTCTCAAATTTCTACTCAATTATGCTATCTTGATTCCACTCTTGCCACCAGGGTTGGACATTTTCTTGTCGTCTATTGAAAATTTGCAACAACAACCAAAAAGACAACTTGTTTTTTTACATCGAGATGTCTGACGTTTTATTGAAATTAGTTTCACACCAATTTCTTACCTTAAAGTTAGAGCTGTTTCTGAAATTATGGAGAATTTTCTTTGGTGAATGAACTGATCTCGCCAATCTGCCGGATTAAGAAGAATTCTTCAGTCAGGGTAGCGGCTTAGCACGTTATCGGGAAATGAGAAAAAAAAATAATCAGGAAAATACGGGTTGTTCTATCTTTAGTTCATACGATATTAAACATTCAAATCAACTTTGGGAACAATCGAGATGTCGATTCTTAATGAAACCTTTAGCAGATGGATTTCGGCAACAAAGCTTTGAAACGATAAAATGCTCTCTAGTTGAATGAAACGTAAACCAAAATTTGAACGATATGTCTTATGTAATGCCACGAAAAATCAATACTTCGAAATACATTTGCATTTATTCACGAACTCTCAACCTCCGAATGAAATCGCTAGACGATGATAAGCTTTCATAATTCTCCTCTTTGAACAACGTCTAATATAGAAGTCTAGC